GGACAGTGACATCTGCAGGAAAACAGCTGTCACTTAAAGAAGGGAAAGGAGCTTCCCAACTACACGATCACAGGGGGTGGTGTGGTCTCCTTGGCTGGGGGTTTTTAAGCAGAAACTGGATAGCTATCTCTGTCAGAGATGCAGTCTGTGTGCTGGTGGTCAGATGCTCTGGCCGGCACTCAGCATAGCTGGGTTCAAATCTCCCACTTGGTCACAAAGGTCAACGAAAGATTTTGAGCCCCTCACAGTCTTTCACTCTTATCTCTGAGAGTTGTCGTAAGGGCAAAGTGAGGAGGAAGAGACCCACGTTCACTGCTTTGAGCTCATTGCAGGACAGAAAATAGATAAATATAACCAAAAAATACTGGAAATATTGCATGGGACTTATTGGGTATCCTTCCCCCCCTCCCCCAAAGAGACCAGCGGCCAATTCCTTGCTTTTTCTCAAGGATACCAGATTCATTGCAAGCTTTCTTTTCATCTTACAGCTTTTGAAAACAGACAAATTTTAAGGAGGGAGGGACCGGGCATCAGGCAGTTTTCACCCCTGCTGTTCTATTCTCTTCTTTGCTCCTTGTGATGGAAACACAAGGTTGGCGTTTCAATTTCAGATAAATTCATGCCGGCTTCTCCCCAAGAGTGCCCGCCCCGGGCTCATGGCTACCCGTAAGCTAAACTGACTCACTGCATTTTGGAGAAACCCCAGATTTTCAAGGATGAGGGATCACGAAGCACAGACCCGCAGACGGCCACACAGAGGAGAAAAGGGACCAAGAAGGCTTCAGAAAGCCATCCTGCCGTAGCCTACACAAACACACGAGCACATCACCGGTGACCCCCTCCGTGCACTCCGCTTGAGAAGATTTCACAAGAGAGAGAGAAAGAGCCACCTCTGTCCGCAATTGGGCAACGGCCCGCCCCGTCCAAGCGGGATTAAAAAATACAGCCCAGGAACAAAAAAGGGATTAGAGGCAACCCAAGGAGACTCTGTTCTTGCAGACAAAAAAAATATATGCAACTGTTACTCCAAAGCAAAGCTGAAAAGCACAGGAGGAGAGCCAGGGAACATTTGGGCAAATTAAGTTCACCAGAGCTTGGATTTGGAGGGCCTTCTCCCTCCGCAGAAACTCTTGCATGGGAACACGGAGAGGCAGAAAGGATCTCACCCAGGACCTGTTCTGAAGGCGAAGGGATGCAGCAGAACCTCAGGTAAGGCCGTGAATGGAAACCAGGTCTGTTGGGACTTGGAGCGTGAGGCCTTTGACAAGGCACAGAGTTCTTCAGCATTTTGAAGGAAATCAACCCTGAGTGCTCATTGGAAGGACAGATCCTGAGGCAGAGGCTCCAAGACTTTGGCCATCTCATGAGAAGACTCCCTGGAAAAGCCCCTGATGTTGGGAAAGTGTGAAGGCAAGAGGAGAGAAGGGGACGACAGAGGACGAGGTGTTTGGACAGGGTCACCGAAGCGACCAACATGAATTTGACCCAACTTCGGGAGGCAGTGGAAGACAGGAGGGCCTGGTGTGCTCTGGTCCAGGGAGGTCACGAAGAGTTGGAGGACTTAAGGACTAAACAACAACAACTCTTGCCGAAAACAGTTGTGTGACCTTGAGGAGGCTCCTTGGCCACCTTGGCCTCAGAAACGCAACACTCTCAGACTGCTCCTTCCTTTGCCCTTCCTCTTGGCGGTCTTGCGCTCTGAGATATTCTCGGGCTTTACCTCGGGCCCTCCTGACTTTGACCATCCTCAGAGTCCAGGGCGGGTAGACTCTCCAGGCTGGCCGAGACCCTCGAGGGCTGCTGATCATCCCCATCCAGTCCATGGCAGAAACAGAATACTACCTGGTTTGGATGGGAGAGCGGTCCACACCCACCCACCCATGGAGGAATCCAAGAATTTAAAGGAGCTGAGAGGTTATCCTTTGTGAGCCCCCCCAAAAGGAAAAACAGAATATTAAAAAAAAATAAACCTCAAAATCAGCCTAAGGTGAAGCTAGACTGCCAAGTGGACAGAGAACAGAGAGTGGAGGGGGAAAGTGGCAGACTCTGCTTGTCTCTAAAGCCGGGTCTGGATAATATCCATGGTCTGCTTGCCTCTGTTTTGTTTTAATACTTGTGTGTTTAATTATACACTCCCAATATAGAAACCCCTCGAACAGAAGGTTATCTTGACATCATGGCTGAAGACGGTGAAGTTCCAAGAAGCAGCAGCCCTGTGAAGATTTCCCGTTTGGGAAACGTTCTGCTCACCCACTCTCATGTTGCTTGGGATATTTTGAGAGTAATAGCCTGGAAGGGGGGGAGGAAGGATCTTTGGCCCTCTCCGGCGATCCCTCATATGAGAAGGATTTGGGAATTGTTACAGATCAAAAGCAGAATATGAGCCAACCGTGTAATGTGGCTGCAAAAAAGGCCATTGCCATTTTAGGATGCATGGATAGAAGGAGAGTCTCCAAATCCGGCGACGCGCTATTCCCCCTCTCTTCGGCACTCGTTAAGCCTCATCTCGAGTATTGTGTCCCGTTTTGGACACCACACTTCAAGAAGGATGCTAAGAAATTGGAACAAGTTCAGAGGAGGGCAAGAAGGAGGATCAGGGGGATTGGAAGCCAAGCCTTAGGAGGAAAGGCTGAAAGAATTGGGCACGTTTATCCTGGAGAAAAGAAGGCTGAGGGGTGATATGATAGATCTCTTCAAATATTTGAAAGACTGTCATGTAGAGGAGGGGAAAGATCTGTTCTCGATCATTCCAGAGTCACTTTGATCCCTGGTTTCCCCTCCACTTATTTTGGTTCTCTCCTCAGCTTACTTCCATGTATAAGACGACCCTCAATTTTTAGTCTAAAGATTTTAGACAAAAATATAGTCTTATAAACGGAAAAATACAGTACTTCTTTCACCCTGAACCTGGTTTTGGGCTACAAGAGCCCCCCCCATCATTAATGAGGGGACGGATGCTCTTTAAGAAGTAACTTTCTAACCTCTGAGCACGACCTCAGTTCAAAAGACCACAGCTTTGCATTGCGACCCTTTCAGTGCAAATAAATACACAAAAGGAACTAACTCCTCTTTTCCCCCAGAACTAGTTTGTTTACGATCTCGGAGGGATATCTAGGATAACAGATTTTGCTATAGGGGAGGACACAAGAAAGAACCTTTTAAACGTGGCTGACATAAAAGTTGGATTAGCAGCCCACTCCCTCAAAATCGCTCCGCGTCTATCGAAAGCCCCTTTCGACTTTACGCCCAGAAGCGTGTGACTCTGCTGGCTTAAAATTCTGCCAGGTTTCCACGCCTTCAAATGGTCAAGAAATACAGATTCCTAATAAGATGTTCTCTACATCCAATCCGGTAGAACTGCACATAAGCCGACTCTTAACAAGGCTGCCGTGCTCGGCACCTGAGGGGGGAGGAGTTATGTTTGGACTACCGTGCCCCTAATCCCCCCAGCCAGCTCTGTTGTTGTTGTTGTAGTAGCACCGGTAGTCAACCCATCCCCTCAAAAAGAGCCACACCCTCTATTCCCATCGATGGGGTCTTCCCGTGGATATTTTCGGCTCCACCCATACGTACCCATGCAGAGAGTGTCCGAGAGAGGGGTGCACGCCTGGATCATCACCTCGTTCTCATCACACTCCATGTGGCAAGCGAAGCATGGCTCTGAAGAGCTTTTGACCTCTGAGTAATAACCGTCCGGACATTTCTGGCACACGGTGTCGGTGTTTGGGCCGCAAGCTGTCGCCACTCCGTAGCCTTCTGGGCACACCTGGCAAGGGAGACACGGCCCGTGGCTGTGGGTCGCGTTGGATGCCGGAAGATAATGGCCCCGAGGGCAGAGGGTGGCGCAGACCGTGTCGTGGGTAGGGGTGCATGCATCCAGCATGGGCGCATGTCCGGGACACACCGAACATGGGTGGCAAGGCTCCGTGGCACTGCTGATGGACGAGAACTTTACATCTGTCACAAAGAGAAGGAGGGTTTGTCGTTAGCTGACAAAGGCATGAAACCTCTGTCTTGTCTTTCCCCTTGAACCGGGCACCGCGGTGGCTGCCGGTACAGTTTTGGAAAGCCCGTGCGAATAAATACCCCAAATGGAATATGACTCGCGTTAAAGTTGTTTAGAAAATAATAATAATAAGTAAAAAATGAGAAATGTGACAAGATTCGTTAAAAGGCCTCTCCACCGCTTGAAGAGGAAGGATGCTTTTCAGTGGGAGGAGAGCAAAGAGGGGGCCAGGCTGGCCTCCAGTGGGAAGGAGTTCCAAAGTCTAGAAACAGCAACAGGTAAGAGCTGCTCTCGTCTCCCCAACCAAGGGTGCCTCTGAATGCATCGGGACTGAAATAAGGACCTCAAAGCTCAGACAGGGGAGAATTGCCTTGTTTTGCCACTGCAGAACTAGCTTTTTCAGGAAAAACTACCCACCACCTATTCAGAAGAAAATATTTTTGGGTTGGGTCAGGCAGAGAATTTTATTTATTTATTGAATTTCTAAACGTTTTGGGACTCGAATGCCTTTTTATATATAGCTTCCTTTTTTTTCTGACCCAACAGCAACCAACACCTGTTACTACGGAGGAAGGAGGGAGCCCAGCGAGGATTTCTTCCCCGATGGACAACTATTCTCCAGGATGGGAAAAACGCTGGTTTTCAACGTGTTACGGGACCCACAGCCTGCCCGGGCTTTCTCCACCAGGCCATATTTAGGAACTCCCATAGCACAGCTTTTAGCATGTTACAC